GAAACTATCAAAATCATAAAATATATCAGTTGACATCACATCACCATTATTAAATTTTTAATAAAAGAAACTCATAAGATACGATCATAGTCAAATTGTAAATATAAATAATTTCATTATTGAATGATAAATATATTAACTCATTTTTTTTCTCTTTTACTGTGAATAATAGTCGAAACTATAGAAGATAAAAAGGAAATTGTTAGAAGTTCGATTAATCTTATATGGGAAGCTACTGATGGAGGAATTAAAAAAATTGTTTTTAATAACCAATCACGTTCAGCAGCAATTTTCTTAAGTGATGGCACTGAGGATACCGAAAACTTGAACGCACCTGGAGTAGTTCTAATTTTTGAAGAAACTTATTGAAAAATCATCAATGATCTAGCTGACATGAAGGGAAAAGAATCTATTGCTACTGAAGATGTATTCAATATCAAAATATTTTTATTATCACAGATTATAACGAAATTGGATTAAAATGAAATTTAAAGTTTCTATTTAACCCTAAAAAAATTTCATTTTTAATCAGATTTCGTTTTAATCTGTCACATTTATTAACCAATTGCGCAGTAATGTTAAAATCCCTTTAAAATAAAACTTAGGACCTAGATAGTGACAATTTATCGCAAGTCGATGAGCTAATGTTTGATACCCAAGCAAGTGAAAACGATACATTAAATTTGGAAGAAGGTCAACATACTGAAGATAGTCGCATAAATGATTATTTTAAAACTTCAAAAAGGACAAAAAATAATGTAAGAGATTTTAGAAATTGTTAACGTTAAGAAATAGATGGTTTAATATCTAATTTTTTTTTATTAAATTGATGGTTAATAAGAATGCTTCGAAATATCCACATGTTAATGAGAATTAGGAGGTAACAAAGATTTTCAATAATGTTAAATAAGCGTAATTAATTATTAACAAATCATCACAACCTCAGCAAAGAGATAATGTCAATAATGACTTTGAAGAAACCGACAAATTATTACCCGATTCTCATTCGTCAATTAATGTTACTGTTGTTAATAATGAATTTGAAAGTAATGAAGAAATCGATGCCTTATTACCTGATTCTCATTCGTCAATCAATGTTACTGTCAATACTTCGCAAGCAGTTAGCACCGATAATCAAATTTCAATTGATAACGAATGCGTTACTGATAATCAAGTAAGAAATTTTCATTAACGTTAAGAGAATTTGATAATTTCCTGTAACTAAGTTAACCTAAAAATCTAATTTATTATTTACAAATCACAAACTTAAGCAAGCTGAAAATAACAGAGAATTGGTTGAATCTATATTCAATGATGAGGAAGTTGATGAATTATTACCTGATTCTCATTCGCCAATCAATGTTACTGTCAATACTTCGCAAGCAGTTAGCATCGATAACCAAATTTCATCTGATAACGAATGTGTTACTGATAATCAGGTAAGAAATTTTCATTAAGAGAATTTGAAAGTTTCCTGTAACTAAGTTAACCTCAAAATCTAACTTATCATTGACAAATCACAAACTTAAGCATGTAGATGAATCTATGCTCAATGACCATCCCAATGACCAGCCCAATGATCAGCCATCAATTAATGTTATCTCAGGAATGCTTGAACAAACGATCCTGGCAGAAAATAGTACACTAGCTGATAATATTGAATCGATTCAAGATAATGATTATGTAAGAATTTCAACTAGTCGATTAATAAATTTCAAAAATAAATTTATTGATATAGATTCTTGTCAAAAAAATTTGACAGGAAGAGGACTTTGCTGAAAATTCAAATAATTCGAAACGTAAAATACATAAATTTGACAATAGAAGCGTAATAAAAAATAAAAGATTGAAGAAAAAATATGAAAAACAACTGTATACTGCGAAGTCTGACCATGAAGAAAGCCAAAATATAAAATTTTCAAAGAAAAAGATAATGAATCGCAATAAAAAAAGCAAATCTTTATCAGATCCTTTGGGTATTATGATAATTATTTATGTATATTATTTATTATTTATCGTTATAAGAAAAATATTAAATTATTATAGAAATACGAGCTCCACATAATGATAGCTCTACAAATGACTCAGCTGAGAATAGAGTGGGAAGCGCCAATTTTCCAATTGTTCTTATAGAAAGAGATGAACATTTTAGCAGTAGCCAGGTGCAGTGTTGTCAAACGGTTTGTTCATTGGTAATTGTCACATTCTTTTATTTATCACATCATATAATAAATAATATAATAAAAGAATACGACAATTACCAATGACAAACTGATAACAAATTTTACTATTCTATTCATTTTGTTATTTTTAAAAGTGGATAGATGAAACAGCGAATGTACCAGCAACCCGATCGGATATTCAAGTAAGCATTCATAATCAAAATTTAAATTTTAAAACATGTTACATAATAAAATTTAAGTAAAATTATCAAATTAAAAGGAATCATTCACGCAACTGGATAGTTCTCGAAGTTCAATTTCTCATCAAGAT